ATCCAACATTAAGTTCCGAGCTTCCAAGTCATTTATTTTTAATGAAAAAAATTTTTACTCAAATTTTTGTGTTAAAATGGGGGATGCGTGTTATACGCCGGTGCGTGTTATACGCCGATAAATACGGCATTTGATTTTTATCCCCTTTTTATTGTTTATCAGTAACTCAAGGCAGCAAACATAACTAATGCTCTTCCTTCTGTTATTTTCCTCAAAGCAAAAATCCTGGGAGGTGGCTTGGGTTGGGAGAGAGAGAAAGAAACTGACTGGCCCAAAGTCATCCAACTGGTTTTTGATGTGTCATATGGGACTAGAACTGTCCCCTGGTTCTTAGGCTCACACCACTAGACTAAGCTGGCTTTCTTTGTAACTTTGGGAGCTATAGAATTAAAAGAAATTGCTCATGTTTCCTTTTCCTGATCTTTATACTGTCTTTGCATTTGCACAGTGGGGTTATATATAATGATTCACTTGTGTCTGTGTTATTGCCATACAGAAAAGGGAAGAAGATATAATTATGTACTTATCTCTCTTTCGGAAAATAGGCTTAAAGCTGTTTTAAAATGGCATAAAGCCTGCAAAATAGTTTGATTATTGTAGTCTTGTTTAGTCTGGGGCCTGGTTAGATTCAGTCATTGCATAAGTAAGAGTTTTGTTTATATGTTTAGAATAATTATATTATGCCCATATGTGCATTTGAAAAGATTGGCAATACAAGTCAAAATCATTTTGGTTTCTCTTACATTTTTTTGCCTCGTTCATATTCTAATGTGATCATAATAACAAAATTTAGGTGTGCTTTGATATAGAGAGCAAATGATTTGAAAAAAAGAAAATAATGGAAGCACTGCATTTTACTTTTTAAGAGTTAAGATGATTAAGATTTACTCCCTCACCCTAACACTTTTTGGCATTAAATCTGGAAAGTATTCATTTTCTTCCTTTCTCCCCCCTCTTCCTTTCTTTCAGGCAAGGAAACTGAAAAAGCCAAAGATCGTTATGATAAAGCCACAATGAAACTTCACATGTTGCACAATCAATACGTGTTGGCATTGAAAGGAGCACAGTTACATCAGCACCAGTATTATGATGCTACACTTCCTTTATTCCTTGACTCTTTACAGAAGATGCAAGAAGAAATGATTAAAGGACTGTAAGATGTAGTGTTTTGTCTCATAAAAGCATGTGTAGTCCTCCTAACTTTTCATTTTAAATTTTTAGAAATTTAAAATTTCTAGGAGCAATGTGCTAAGCTTCAATATGTGATATTTCTAACTGGTATAAAATAACAGGTTTTTGTAATGTTTGAAATTTTGTATGCCAGGTACAAACCTCACTTATGAATCAATATCACAGAATTTTAATAGTTCATCTTTTATAGTAAAATTCTAATTTGCAATTAGAATTAGGAACTTTTCCGATACTGAACATCTAAAGCCCTTATATGAGTGCCCTGTTGTAGAATGCTCCTCATAGTTGATACTCTGTTTTTCTTAACCAGTGAGAGCCATTTCATTCTTCTGAGCTTTCTATTTATAATTTTGTTTTTGGTTTTTCTGTTGCCCTAGCTGCTATTTACTGTATTTTTCGGACTAAGACGCACCTAACTTTTGGGGAGGAAAACAAGAAAACAAAATCTGCCTCTGCCTCCCAGCCATTTGCTCCTTACAGCAAGCAGCAAACAACCTGGTCAGCTTCAGCACAGCCTGATTTAGCACGAGCAGCTAATTGGCGGTTGGATCTGCCTCCTGGAACACCGCCTATCAGCTGTTCCAGGCTGTGGGGATTGCATCTATCACTGCCTCTGTGCATCCTGTTTTTGGCCTGTGCCAGGTGGTGGGGATAGGTGGTGGTGAAAATTTCCACCACCTGGAATGGGCCAAAAATGGAGCACGCGGAGGGTGAAAATAGAGCGTGCAAAGGTTGAAAATAGGATGTGTGGTGGCAAAAAATGGGGCACATGGAGGCGATGATAGGTGGCAGTGGTGATGGATGGCAATGGGCGGTGGCAATCCGCGCAGCCTGGAACAGCTCATATGTGGCATTCTGGGAAGCAAATCCAAGTGCCAATCAATTGCTCGTGCTAAATCAGGCTGTGCTGAAGCTCACCAGGCTGTTTGCTGCAAGAAGACAAATTGCTGGGAGGCAGAGGCCAAAGGGTGTGGCTTTTGGGTGGTCGGGGCTTCTGCAATGTTCGCTGCACAGACATTTTCACCCACATTTTGGGGGCGGGGAGTGTATCTTATACACCAAAAAATACGGTATTTTGTGACAATTTTGTCTACATTTGTTCATTTGTTAAAGTACAAGTGGGCACATCATCTATGGGTCTTGGGGGAATAGTTATAGGTGGAGTGAGGAATAAATGATTGAATATCAGCATGCTGGTAACTCTTGTAGTGGATAAGAGAAGAGAAACATATTGGCTGTTTTTTATCCTTGAAACCAAGCCTTGATTTTACACTTTTAAAGATCTTGGTATTTTTTTGTCTGTTGTGCCAGATTAGTCCAAAATAAGACTCATTGTGAGATAATGCACAATTTGATCATGGATGAGATATCTGACTTAACAGAGATCTGACAGTGAAAGCCATATAAACCAGAATGGAACCAATTTCTTGTGTCTGGATACTTTTTAGCAGAAAGCCGGGAGAAGCAAAATGAAGATGGTATGGCTGGATCTGTAAGAATTGCATCTCCCTCGCCAGACTATCTGAGAGAACTGTTTCCTGATGCCTGTATATATGTGAGAAATCTTTGGACTAGGAGTAGATTGAAGGTTCTGTTAGCATTCTACTTTAGCTTCCTGCTTAGCAGAATCTCTTACTGAGCTGACAAGATTGCTGTTATTGATAATACTAGAGACTTCTACCTTAAGGTCGTTGGGTGCTGTCAATATACTGATGAAAACTAGCTATGCATGCTAGTTGGTATCAATTGTGATTGGAGCAACCTATACATTAATATATTTCTATGTGATGCCTGTAGGAAACAGTCTACTGAATTTCTGCCTGTGGTCATTAGTTGGCTGGATAAGAAATAACAAATTGAAACTGAACATACAATATGAGGTGCTTATTGTGAAGGGCCATAATTTTAGAACAGTGTAGTTGTCAGTCCTGTATGGGATTACACAATCCAAGAAGTAGCAAGAACATAAGTTTAAAGTTTTTTTTCCCTAAAGCCACAATTTCTCTAGTTAGCCAGGTTGAAGAAATATTTAGAACTGCCTTTTACCAGCTTTGGTTGATTACCAAACATGTCTATTTCTGAAAATAATAACCATAAAGCTTTGCTACACTTGCTAGTAACCAACAGGCTTAACCATAGTTATATATTTTACATGCAACTATTTTTGTCCTTTGATTGGAAACTGGTTTGTATAAATACACTAGTTAGATTGCACCCTGGAAGAATACTCCAAATGATACCTTTAATTAAAATACTGCAGTGGCTGCCAATCTAGTTGCAAGCAAAATACAAAAGGGCAGATTATTAGTGCACTTCATGCCTTTCATCCTGGGTACTGTACTCGAAAGAATCTCTCATTCTGAATAATGTTCACAATTACTGATGTTATCCGAGGGTATTTTGTTGATAGGTGATGTAGACCCATTGGATATCAACTCTGTTTCTGCCCCAGATCTTTGGAACACACTACAGCCAAATTAAGAGGCTGACATCTTTATTCATATATTTTTTTAAAAGCTTTAAAACACATACTGTACAAACTGCTGATTATAACTGTTAAATTTAATTATATTAATTTGCTTTATTTTGTGTTAATCAAAAGTTCAAAGGTTCTTATATTTTCATTGTATTTTTAAATTCTATTTATTTACTAGATAGACTTTGATACAAGCAGCAGTGTAATAAACAAACCAACCTACAAATAGATTATGGGAGTCTTTTTAAAGTAATGATAATTACCTTCTGAACTCTTGTTCGCTATTCATATTACATGATAATCTTTTCAGTATAATTGTTTCTGTCAGTATCTGAAATCAGATTGTTTCCTAAAATACTAATGAGTATTTTGAAATCATCACAGCTATGTTTCAAAATATTTGTTTTTAATGGAAACCAAAATTGCAATTCCCAAATCAGGAGACATATTCTTTTGTGACTGAAGTTCCTTTTATTTTTTCAATAAAAAGCATAGGATTATTGTTTAGTGTCCTTATCTGTTCAGTATTTTGAATTGTTTAGTGATTATTTTGCAACTGTAGAAGTTATGTTTGTTCATTGGACTTGTTTACATGAAATAAAAGGATAGTTAGGTTATCTTTGCCCCATCTTTTCCATTATATATTATGAACATTTCTATTATATATTATGAAAGATTTTAAAATATTGGGTTCTTTAGAAACCATAAAGAGATCATTTTTAAAGTACTGGCTATTTTTTATGTTAGCGACTGTGTTTGTGTCTGGATTTATTAATATTTCTCTTAAAATGTCTTGAAAAATGTTATGCTACATGAACATAACATATAATATATTTATTATAATTGTATTTTTCACATTTTTTCAATGTCATTGTGCTGCAACTGCAGTGAATCTCTTAATTAGAATAGATTACACTGAGTAGATTATTACCAGTTTATGTGAGATAAAGAGTTCATGTAGTTTCTCCTTCAGCGTAACAAAACAACAGTCAGATGAGGAAAACTAAGGCAGATACTGTACATTCATCCAGTACTTAATCTATGGTCTGAAAAACAAGAGAAAAAAAATGGAGCAGTTTTAGCTGTTCACTTGAGTTGATTATTTCCAGTTCGAATAGAGGAAGAGAAGCTCTTTGTCAGTAATGTGATGAAGAAAATTATAAATAGGTATATTAAACTAGCTAAAATACTGTGACATAAGTGTTCCTTTGCCCAAGGTATCTAAAGGGTTCATTAATATTTGTGACTTATTTAAAAGAAGTGGACATGACAAGTTTAGAAAAAAGACTTTAAAAAAATAGATTATAATCTTGATTTAAAATGGGCTTGTGAGAAATTAGTACACTTTCTAATGCATACATTTCAGAGCATTTAGCATATATTTCTCTATAGTTTGGCCAATATTTACTATATTAATATCCTTTGGCATTCCTGGATTATCACTGGACAAATATATAAATACACCATATAAATACATTGTACAACAATGATTTCTGTAATTCCAAAAATATTTCAAAATTCAATGAGCATTGAAAGTATACCTTACTATTGCTAATTCACACAGTTTTTTGTCATTCTATGGGGAGAAAAAAGGAAAAACATTTTTTGTTGTTAATTTGGTGTTCTAGAAATTTCATTCCAGTTTCTAAAACACAGATATTTGTGTATTGAGAAAGGATACACAGTATGATTACCCCAAAATTTTTTAAAGTAACAGATTACTTACCTTGAGGGTTGGGTAAATAAATAGTAATACAGATGGTGTGTTGTAGACAGAAAAAGAGTGGTATTAAGGCGTAGTGGATTACAAAAGTAGAATGGAGAAGACTTAATGAGAATTCATCACAGGGACAAAAAAAATTGTAAAATCAGTTATCCAGTGAAATGAAGAACACCTTTGGGAACAATAGGGATCACTTAATTTTTAAACATTTGTAATTTCAAAAGCATATTTGAAGTATTCTCACAAAATCGCTGTCAAGGAGTTTGGACTCGGACCAAAGAGATCCACGTTCTAATCCATCCTCAGGCACAGAAGCTCACTGGGAGAATATGGACCAGTCACACTTTCTCAGCCCAACCCATTTTATAGGATTGCTATTGTGTGGAAAGATGGGAAAGAGCATTATGTAAACTGCTTACACTAGCTAAAATACTGTGAAGTAACTTTTTCCTTGCCCAAGGTATATAAAAGGTCCATTAATATTTGTGATGTATTTAGAACAAGTGGACATAACAAGTTAAGTTTCTCTTAAAATAGCAAAAAGACTTTTAAAAATAGATTATAATCTATTGCTGTAAAATAGTTGGGACAACTATCAAATCAATCAGTCCCATTTTCTAGGAGGAAAATGTTGACTTTTTTTCCTCATCATTATCTCTTCAGGATACAACTATTCATTTTCCAGTGCATCTTTATCTTATTCCTAATAAATGGGCATACCTTATATCAAAGCAGTGTTCAATTATCCACTGGTTTTATTTTTCTAAGACCCATTGATAATCTTGGAAGTAAAGGTCATGTGCTGGTGGCACTCTTGCATTGTAGATGTGAGCTTTTCATTTAAAATTATAGTAGTAGTATTTTAATTGAGAGTCATATACATATTGGTGCCTTGCCGTGCATTAAAGACAATATCCAAATGTAGGGAATAGATTCCTTAGCAGAAGTACTATATTTGAAAGATTCTGATGGAGCACAAGAACAGAGCTTAGTCTATAAGACAAATGGTTAACTTTCAAAGTAAAATAAGTTCAATAAAAATATTGTGCAGATCTCTAGTATTTTTCTTCCTAAGTTTCTAAAACAAGAAGAACACTGCCTGGGAGTAAAGCCTATTAATTTATTTGACCTTACATGTGATCAAGCACCATAATGTGAAAGAATGCTAGGCACTAGTGGGCAGATAAGCTCAACACTCAATTCGGAATAGTTGAAGTAGGAGTTTCATGAGGAATGAACTGCATGTACTACCAAATATTCTGAACATTTGAAGAGTTCTCTAATGTAGGCTTAATTGTCAAAAGCCTACATTAGATAACCCTTCAAATGAACAGGGCACTTTTTGGGATATCTCATTTGAAATAAAATCCACACACCCTTGAGTAAGTAGAAAGAAGGCCATCAAGGGTGATCACAGAACACAAAATTAAACCCTATGAAAAGAAGTTGGAAAACTGGAAATATTCAGTTTGAAGAATAGATAACTCTTTGAATATTTGAAAGGATGTTACACAGAAGGCAGCCAAGACTGTTCTCTATCATCCCAGAAGGCCAATAAATGTGAATTATAGTAAGGCAGTTTCTACAATGTTTAAAAAAAAGCTGTTAACAGTAAAAACAGATTGGTACTATACTATAGTAAAGAAATTAATTTTAAAAATAGTTGGACAATTATCTATTCTATATACATTAACTTATTTTCCTGTGCAAAACTGGGAACTGAATTGCATTGCTTTAAATCACCTTGATTCTACGTTTATACATTTATACTTTATATATTGTTTAAAATATATATTTAATATATTTTCATGGTATTTTTTTTTCAGGAAAGGAATCTTAGAAGAATACAGTCAGATCACCAGCCTTGTGACAGAAGAACTAGTGAACGTTCATAAAGAGATCCAGATATCTGTTGAACAATTAGACCCTGGTTCAGAGTACAGTAGTTTCATAGAAACCCACAGGTAAAATATTGGTGGTAGTATTTTACTGCACAAAAATATGTTCTTAACAATGCAGTACAATGTGCTTATAGAAATAAGTCCATGTAATAGCAAAAGTGATCTGTGTGATTTAAATTGCCCAACTATTACAAATTTCTCTTCCATATAAAACTCTTTCACATAAATTATTTAATGCACACAATGACATCAGATAATCTGGATAGATAATTAAATCTCTGCATTCCTATTCCTCTAATCTGCAAAAAAGTTCCTCTGTTGATAATAAAAGATTTCTTCAAATATTTTGCTGTATGGACTGAGGTTTTTGTTGCTGTTGATATAAGACTTACAGGTTAGAAAGTTTGTATGTTACAATTATTGATGCATAGGTTTTAAAAGAACATGCAGGACTGTTAAATTGCATGATTATTACTTGAGGCATCTATTAATTTTAGCAATTAAATAAAATTAATTTTTTAACTTGTTTGCTATTTTAAAGGAATATTCATTTTAAATATAAAATATATGTTCAAAAACATACTGTTATTTATAGCTACTACATTTTTATTGATTTACAGAATTTACTTTTGAGTTTGCAATTATAAATGTAGTATATATGTAAAGAAAATCAGTTTTAATTTAGAATGGCAGAAAATCTCTCGAAAGTTCTGTTTATATTAATTTTAGAAATAGTCTGGTTCTTTAATAGTTCCTTACTCCTGCCACTGCAGTTCTTTGCTAGAAATCTATTGCAGCAAATAGAATTCCACAGAAGAGGTAACAGAATTCTAATATACTGAAGCAGTAAAAGAAAGAGTATCTTCTATAGTAGACTTCGTTTCATTTCAAAAATCTAAATGTGATTTACTGTAACAGACTGAAGTGGATGAATCTGTGCTTTTGATTGTATATCCAAAACTTTCATACTTAGAGATAAATTTCTTAACTGTCCATCTCCATCAGATAATGAATGAATGAATGAATGAATGAATGAATGAATGAATGAATGAATTAATGAATTAATGAATGAATGAATGAAAAACCATTACAACATGGCATAGTTATGCCAGAAAGTATGATATAACTATAAAGTGGTATTTTTTATTCAGCTAACTTTAAATTATTATAACTTCCAGGGTCAATGCATCAACTTATAATTAATCTACCCAGTACAATGATCGGTGATGGAAGCTTGTTACTGCAGCCACAATTCTGAATAATTTCTTTTTTTTTCCTTTCCCCTGAAGAAGGGAAGTCCTAGGAGCTCATCAGTTCTTTGAGTAGGTTCTTAAAAAATGCTGTCAAGTGGTTTGAAAAAAGAAATGCTAATACTTGTATTATTATTGCTTTTTTTTTACTAAAGGACATCAGATATTGAACAACAAGAAATTGAATTTGATACATCATTATTAGAAGAAAATGAAAATCTTCAAGCTAATGAGATTATGTGGAATAATTTGACAGCTGAAGGTTTACAAACTATGTAAGTAATTTAGTATCTTTTTTCCTTTTCAATTTTGGCTATGTAAGATATAAAAAGTGTGCTGAATCAGGTAAGAACTATGTAATATAAAAATTTTTATAAGAAAGTTGTAGCCATTCTGTCTTTCTGTCTCCCTTCCAATTTTTCTTAATGATCAGGTTGTATACAAAATAAAATATAAATCAAAATGGTTATGCTATCAAAAATTATTTTGCTTTTTTAATTTAAGTTTTGAGAAATGTGGGTCTATATTTCTTTTGCCAAGAATTACATAAAAGAGTTGTGTAAGATTGTGGTTGGATGACGGCTACTTCAGAGAAAATTGGAGAATAATGACAGTGAAATTTCACTATAACAAGCCACTTTGGAAGAGGGAGTTGTTACACTTTGTCCATTTAATATTAAAGTATATCATCAGGACTACGTAAGGCATTTCATAATGGTGTCATTATGCAAATGACAAATTGTGTAATTTGCATCAATTTATTTCAGATACAGTGGGCAGCTGTTATTTAGAGGAAAGATTGGAATGAAATTTGGTTGATTAAATGGGATTCTATTAAATCAAGGTTAAAAGGCATCTGGGAAGAAGAGAACTCTGTGGTACAGCAATCCACACATCAAGAAGAACATGTGCCCATAGGACTGACAAAAATGCTTCTAAAACTGGACCAGCTTTGTATCAAAACAGTGTCATAGTGAAATCTATCTTACATTTTTGTAGTTCTTTCTCCTGTCTGAATTATGTAATGTCCTGAATAGCATTCTTGTTTTACAGGAAGGCCCAGATTGCTCATCTTGTTTTGACAATAGACTAGCTGTTCCATATGTAAAAACTAACTCATAGTGAGAAGCAGTTGGATGTTAGAGGATATGTTGGAAGGAAGGTTAAATTAGAAGGTGTTGAATGGGATATGGGAAGGGAAAAGTTAGGGGTAGTAACAGCGGAAATAAGATGAGACGTATTGGACTATGCCTAGTTGGGGAGGCAAGCCAGACTGGAGTTGACTCTGGATAAAGGCAGAAGCTTTGGAGAGTAAGCAAAGTTGCTGCTGGTTTATGTTTTGCAGAGACAGCTGCAGAAGAAAGAGAGAACAGAGTGATAACTGCCATTGTTGATCAGGCACTCACAGGAGAGCCACAGAGCTGACTTATCCAGAAAAATACTTAAAATTTGTGGCTGGAACAATATCCTGGCAAAATCAGTGAGAATGTTAGAGACCAGAACAAAGAATAGAGAATTGTTTGCAAGGTTTGGAGCAAAATCCAGAAGAGTAGAAGACTGGAAGCTGTTTTTGGCAACAGGTTCCTAAATACTTGTTTGGCTGGAGGAAAGAGAAAAGAGAGAGAACTGAATGAAATAAACAGCCAAGGCTTTGTTTGAAAGCATAGCTTGTGGACTGGTGATGGGTTATAATATTAGACTCCTTGGGTGATATGCTGCAAGGATCCCCTTTGAATGAGAAAATTGAAGAGGAGCCCTTACTTTACTTAATAAACAGGTAGGCTCTAGATAATTGATTTATAATAGGTAGTTGAATATGGAAAAAAGGAGAAGTGGAGATGTTTATGTCTGATTTTGAATATAATATTGAAGAGGAGTCTAATTGTAACTTTAGAGTTTATCATTTTGCCTTGTTAATCTCCATTACGTTGAGGTGGTCCAAGTGCTAGATGAGATTGTTCTAAGTCACCCAATTTCAGTTGTCAAATCAGTCTGTTCTCCTGTTATTGTAGGAGCTTCAGGAGTGAAAGAAACTGAAAAGCCAGAACCAATGTTGATATAAAATAAAAAATGACTGAGATCCAAATGGCCATATTTGTGACCACATAGTGACAATAAAAGCAGTAAAACATCTGTTCTATGATTTTGTCAATGGAATCAACAGCCATGTTCAGCATAATCACTGGGGTTATGGCAAGGAGACTTATCCATTTTTATTTTAGCACCAATTAAACTACAAATCCTTGGTAATTGTAACTGTTACATTACTGTTGAATTACTACAGTGCAAACCATACAAGGTTGCATTTGGTAATGACTCAAAACTTGCAGCTGGTTCAGTGTAACAAATGACAGGAAACAGAACATACTACTGTAGATTTTCATGTACTTTGGTTCTTGGATCTGTTACCAGCCAGTTTTGGTGGCCAGTTCAAAATTCAAAGTGCTATTAACTATAAAGACCTGGAATGTTGTTAGGACACATATGAGTCAGCCTTATTAAACACGATTTTGTCTTTTAGTCTATACATCTAGAGAGCTTACCTGAAATATTCCACTGCAACAAGTTAAGGGATGTGAACCAGAAATTTATGTAGTAGTCCAACCAATGATGTGCTTTGTCCCTTATCTTGTGATATTTTGGAAATCACCAAGGCTGTAAAAACAGTTCAATAGGCCCATGCCCCAGAATGAGGAATGATGAGAAACCATCTAGTTTGGAACTATGATTGTTTTAATGTAGATGAGGATGGTAGGATTTGGGTTAAATTTTGAATGATAGACCACCTAATAATTAATACTAATAATTCTATGTCATTAAATATATCTTTGTATGAAGGAGTGTATCTGTAGACAAATAATCATTGTTATAACATGATAGCACCTTACATTTCTCCCGTGCATTCATTTATGTAAGAAAGTTTCTTGTTTCTGTACTATCATCAGGGTTGACCATATCCCCCCCCAAAAAAAGTTGTACAAGGAAGTTGATGAAGTTCATCAACTTCCTTGTCATTGCTGTGAAATACCTGAAAAGAAAAATTAATAATTTCCTGTTTGTAAGTGAAATTAACTTCTGCTCACAACTTTCAATATATGACTTAATTCATAAAAGGTCTTGCCACTGTGATCATAATTTATTGTAATAAAAAGCAAGAATTCCAGACTTCTAATCACCATTGGAACTTGTCTTTTCTCTGTTCGATTGTATGAGGAACAAGATACTTGCACTGTACCTAGTTGCTTTGAAATAAGATTTGTGTAGCATAAAATAGAAAAAGAAAGAGTGTTTGTTCTCTGGAAAAGATCTGTTATATGAATTTTTAGTTATGATCCCTTTATTGATGAATAGTGAAAGCAAAGAAAATTGAAAGTGGTAAATTAATAAATCTAGCAAATTAATCTGCTCTGTTTAATTTGACATTGTTCTGTGCTACTGTATTATTCAGATTCTTGAGATAATAGATGATACGTTTTGTCCTACCACTGGACAGTTTGGGGAAAATTAATGTGTCTCAGTGCAGTTAGCTGACTTAGTGAATCTTCCAACTCTTCATTTCTGTGGAATATTATAAGTGATATTTTTTTAATGAAGGGTTATTATTCTTGGCATTCTTGGTGGTCAGTTTAGAATTCAGATGTTCTCAGTTGGATATAAACATCTTAAAAGGGCAATGCATTTTTTAAAAACTGGCCATTAAGAATTAATGAATTTATATTATCATAGTACAGTTATGGTTTTAATATAACAAGTTTCTAAACTGTTACTTGTCCTTATGGCAAATTAATTTTGCTACATTTAGATGAACACAATTAATTCATAACAAGAAAAGTCCCAGTACCATATAAATAAATGCAATGAGCTAAAGAAGATTGTTTTTATATGTAGTAAAAATGTATTTGTGGAGCTTTATTGCATTATGTTATTTCAAACTTTATTACAAGCAGAATAATCTCAAAATGAAAACCATTAAATTCTACTTTGTTTGCAATATGTTTAGCATATTATTGTTTCTGTTATTGTGCCTCATTTTTATGAAAGTACTTGACTTTTTTAAAAAAAATAGCATACAATATAAATGTTGATGGACTTTGACAGCTTGAAAAGATTCCACAAAAAGTATAAATTCTTTTTAGCTTTCATTTTATTTATGAGATTTATAGATTTCTTTATTATAACTACTCTAAACAGTTTACAAATATAATAAAATTAGTAATAGTACATAATAAAAAGAAAAACTAAACGATGATTATTTGAAAAAGAATTCTCCATTGAGAAATATAAAGAAGGTTCTGCTAAATAGTCACAGATTATATTTGTTTAAATCATAGGTTGAAAACTGTAGTAGAAGAACTGATTCAGACACAGCAGACACTTCTAAATAAGGAGGAATTAGTTCTGGAATTAGAAAAGAAGATAGAAGAGTCTTCTAAGATCTATGAAAAAAAATCTGAGTGAGTAAATGGCAGATATGGAAGTGTATGATATATAAGATTAATTTTCCAAATTATTCATATAATATTCTTGAATGAAAATGAAATCCAGATGATGTGCAGTAACTCATTTGCTAAGCTCATGCTTCATTGCACCATTTGTAAGTCTAGAATTATTGACTATATTTAATAACTGATTTTATAAGCTAATGTAAAACTCTTTTTAAAAAATCTTACAGTACTTCTAGCATTGGTTTTTTTAATTATTTTATTGTTTATTTATTGAGTCTAATGGCATAATTTATTTCCCATTCCTTTGATTGAATATAATGATTCTAAACTATGTATTTCTTTAATTGAGTTATATGGAATTTGGGAAATTTGCATGGATTTCTTCTTTAGATAGTTATTTATTAATGTTTTCCTCTACATTAATTTTTTAATGCAGCCTATACTGTTCTTCCTTAGATTAGGCTTTTTTGAGGGGAAAAAGAAGTTGACAATTAATAACCAACTCCCAACACCATCTATATTATTTGTTATGATCTTGAGAAATGAAATACATGCTTCCATTTTGCTTTTAATATAATTTTGATGCCGTTCTTTTCAGCATTGTGCTTCTGTTAAGCCAGAAGCAAGCCCTTGAAGAATTAAAGCAAACTGTTCAGCAGCTAAAATGCACTGAAGTCAAATTTGTAGCCCAGAAGGAACTTCTTCAACAAAAAGTGCAAGAAAATGATGGAAAAGAGCCCCCACCTGTTGTCAATTATGAGGAGGATGCCAGATCAGTCTCTTCCATGGTAAAATTTACATTTATTTAGTAAGTTAGGATACTGTGGCTAATGTTGCTTTAAAAAGAATTGTAATTAAAAGCAAATTATATACAGGTAGTTGTCACTTAACAACAGTAATTGAATTGGAATTAGTACAATTGGGTGGGGGAAGGTGTGCCTTGGTACAAATGTGGCAATGCTGGGCCTAGAAGGCTTGGTGCAGTGTGGGTAGCAAGCAGGGTCCACATGCTGCCACTCAAGGGCTCCTCTCTTCCTCCTCAGTAGAAAAACCAATGGGAACAACTTACCTGAGCAACTTGTAACCTTCTGCTGGCTTCCCCACTGACTGTTCATGGGAAAGTGGCAGGAAAGATTGCAAATGGTACGTATGTCACTGCAGGATGCTGCAGGCACTGTAAATGAGAGCTGGTGGCCAAATGCCCAAATCACAATCACATAACCACAAGGACATTGCAAAGGCTGCAGTTTTGAGAATTGTCTTAAGTCCCCCTAATTGTGTGCCATCATAACTGAACAAATGGTTGGTAAACGAGGACTATCTATGGTACATTGTAAGGCCGGGATGGCGAGCCTATGGCACCTGTGGCACGCGGAGCCATTTGTCGGCACACGAGGCATTGCCCTGTCAGCTGGCTAGTGCACATGTGCACATTGGCCAGCTGAGTTCAGTCTTTTTTAAGCCATTTTTCTCCCTTCCCAGGCTCCTATAAAGCCTCTGGAGCCTGGGGAGGATGAAAACAGCCTCCCCCGCCTCCCCTGGAGGCCCCTTAGGAGGCTTCAGGATCTTCCCTGAAGCCTCCGGAGCGCAAAAATCTGGTCCTATGGGCAAACTGGAAGTTCGAGAACAGGCTTCCGGTTTGTTCATAGGGCCAGTTTAAGCCCTCCGGAGCCTTCAGGGACCTTCCGGAGGCTTCCCTGAAGGCTTCTGATGACGAAAAACCACTCAACGGACAAATCGGAAGTCGCTTCCAGTTTGCTCATAGGGTTGTTTTTAGTCCTCCGGAGCCTTCAGGGAAGCCTCCTGAAGGTCCCTGAAAGCTCTGGAAAACTAAACTTCCAGAACTTCCAGTTTGCCCATAGGGCCATTTTTTTGTGCTCCAGAGGCTTCAGGGAAGCTCCTGAAGCCTCCGGAGGGCCTCCGGGGGAGGCTGTTTTCATCCTCCCCAGGCTCCTATAAAGCCTCTAGAGCTGGGGAGGGTGAAAAAAAAATGCCAAAAATGGGGGGGTGCGCCTGTCATGTGTGCACAACCCCCCTGCGCTCCCCCCGCTTATGGCAGGCGAGTCAAAAAAGGTTCACCATTGCTGTTTTAAGGTATTCATATTTCCTGACAGTTAATTGTAACAATATTTAACACAAAACAGTGTTTATTGAGAATCTTGGCACTATTTAAAATGGATTCAAATGTATGGGTAAGACTTGCTTAAGATTAATGAACTGATCCCAGCTAAATTATAGTTGCTAAGTTCCTATGTTGAAAGTAGACATCAATTTGATGCTATCAAAGTGATGTTGACTATTAGCAACTACATTGATGGACCTAGCCTAACCCTACACTTCAGTCAATGGTGTACCTATCACTGCTGTGATCAAGTGAATCCAACTTGTTGCTGGTTGTCTTTTCTCATAACTTTTCCAGCATTACTGACTTTTCCAAGCAATGGGTCTTCTCATAAAATATCTACAATATGATAAATTGAGCCTGAATTGGAAATTCTTTGATTGTTTATGCCTTAAGTGGAAATTATTTCTTTTCATGGCTGCACATGATGTTCTTAAGAGCTCCTTCCCACAACAAAATGAAAACACCAATGCTCTTTCTATTCGGGGAAAAATACATAGTACTTATTTGTTATATCCGTACAGTTCTGCATTTTGTCTCTACATCAGGCAAAACATTTGAAAGAGATTAATTTTATGACAGTAATCATTCATAAATTTGCCTCATGTTATTTATTTTTATGCGTTTGATTTAGTCTTGACTCCTGGTGACTACAAAGACAAGTCCCTGTAGCTTTCTTGGCAAGGTTTTTCGGACATGGTTTGCTCTTGCTTGTTATTTCCCTTAGGCTAAGAGAGAGTCCAAGGTCCCCAGCTGATTGTGCCTAAGGCAGGACTGGAACTTCTGGTTTCTAGCCTAACGCCTTAACCAAACTGGCTGCTTGGGCCACTGCCTCAAATTACTGAGTAGGATTTTTTGAAAAACATACAAATATTTTATGCTTGTGTTTAGAGAACAAAAGTATTTTTATTTTGAAAACCCAATATCAAATCAAAATCACATATTGATTTGCAAGAGAGAATGTTATACTTTTGGAGGCATATTTTCATGAGAATATAATACTGTAAAAACTTTGCATGTAAATGAGAATTGATCATTGTAAGAATTTCAGGATGGTTTGGCCTTCTAGATATTGTCTTAAAACCATACATACATACATACATACATACATACATACATACATACATACATACATACATACATACAACTTTTTTAGCCTCTTGTTATTTCTATTTACCCCATTTTTCAGACCTGGAATTGTATTAATTCTTATGATGATATACTGCCTTGGCTTATTTGGTATCTTTGGTAGGAACTTTTGTTTACAAAGTAAATTAGATATAACACATTTTTCTCTGTGTGTATGTACACACTGTTTTCATATGTAAAATAATAAAGATAAGCTTTCTGGTAAGCATATTACCCCAAAACAACCTAATTATAGAAGCAATTATGTAGCTGAAATTATGAAAAAAGCAGGTGCCTGAGATGTTATTCAGTCTATATCCCAACTTGCATTTTTTTTAAAAATTCTAAATTCTAAGGTATTTATTTGTATAGAATCTTTTATAAGCTAAAGGCTATATAAGGGCTCTGAGGCTATGCTTTATGGATAAGTAGACTTTTAAATATGACATGTCAAAATAATTTCATCTAATTCTACAGTACAAACCAATCTACCTATTATTGCCCATAGAACTCAAACTCCTGAATTGATGTAGAGCTAGAATGAATTGAGTCCATGAATTTGAGAGAGAAACATCCAATACCTTTGAAAAGTACAGAAACAGGTTATTACATATATTTCAATGTATGATAGGGAACAAAAGTAAAGGCAACAAATTGTTGGTGTGCAATAAAGGCTTCTTTTTTTAAAATGTGAGAAAAAACAGACATCTTAGATAAAATTCTTCATGCAGCAAATGTATTTGTGTCGAGGTAGCTGATGATCCCAGGCATCCCTTTGTCTTTTATAAAATATATTGCCTCTCCTCCTTTCTCACCAAGTTTGTTTCTTTCTTAGCTTTGATCAAGGTCTTTAGAATACAGTCCTATTGTTTGACTACTCTCATCGCTGTTCCCAAAAAAGCTAGTTTTTCACATCAAAGAATATGGCTTTAGCTCAAAGGAAAAACATGATTTCCAAAACCTAAACCATAAAATTGTGCCTGACAATGGTAGCATCGAGACATCTTCACAATATTGTTTCCTCTTCTTTGGATGATTGAAAATGAAATATAGCACAGGTATTCCTTAATTTTAAGCAAATGGTGTTTATTGAAACAGATGCGTTTTTAAATTAATTTACCATGTGTTGGGACATGGATTTAGATATTTTATCTGCAGACATGTTCCCCAAATATAATGCAGATATGGTAATAATTTATTTTTCTCCCTGCCATTTTTAAAAATCCTCATAACATAGATAGGAGAGAAAAAAGAAGAAAAATGTTAAACTAAGTTTCAGGATAAATTGCAAGTTTCAAATGCAATCTTTTACATCCTAATTCCATGATCGCCACATTAGCGATTTCTAGTGACATTTGTTTGCTTAGTGATTTCTACTGACACTTGATTTTGCTTTGTAACATGGAGTTCCTCTCTTAATTAAAGAAATATTTTCCCGAATTGGGGTAGACTGACAGGAATTCTTTATCATTCCATGCTGTTGTAATGGCAAGCTTTCATCTCTGCTGCAGTTAAGCTGAGGCAGCAAGCTTGTACTTTTTGCCTGGGACAGCAGGAAGATAGTCCTTTTCCAGGCTTGAGGTAGTCTACCCACCCAGAGACTTCTGTGCATAAAAGAGTATCTTTCTCCAAAAAAGATTTAATTTCCCTCCTTCCAGCAATAAACTCTTAATTGTAATTGTCTCCTTTCTCCAAAAATGGGTGTAATTAATACTTGTTCAGTTTAGCACTGCACAAAATCCATTAATTGCTGTTAATTTGATGGGTTGTCCTCAAATTAATTCACAGTTGGACCATTTGGCATTGGGCATTAGGAGTCAGTCCTAGAAATGAGGGGCTTCTGGGGGGTGTGTGTGTGGCTGCAAACATCCCATGATGCAAATGCCCTGTGTCAAAATCCTACTTGGATTTCAAGACAGACTTTTTTTTAACTAGGCCTCTTTGAGAGCAGAAATGTTGCTTGGAAGAGAGGGTCCCCCAATGGGGCAAAATCAATCTCACAGGCAGTGCTTTTTATATACAGAGTTTTTTGTGCACGTCACACTGTACCCAACCATACCATGTCTCATGCATATTCTCTCGTGTGCCTCCCTTGACCTTTGCCACACCTCCTGTGCACTCCTTGTGCACCCTCACTGTGCCTCCCCCATGCATTCCCTTGTCCCTTTCCCCTTTTGACAGCCATCCTGTTTGATCATCTAGGACTTGCAGCTTTGTGCCAACATCCCCATTGACTTTGGTTGTGGGAAGCCAGCAGAAAGTCATGTTGCTAACAACCGTGGGATTTGGTTAATGAAAGTACCTGGGACTGCAAGATCCCAATTACTCTGAGGACTATATGTAAAGACTAATATTTTACAGGGTGGTAGAAATAATATAATGGTACATCTTTGTAGGCAACTTTGAACATTAATGGAACTTGCCATTTAACATCTCCTACACTGTCCAGATTTGCTGCAAAGAATAATGGACATCAAAAATTGATTCCATTGATGGAATGGTCTGACCTTATACCTTCTCCCATTGGATACAACCTTT